GATTTCGTGATTGCATGTTGACATGCCTGGTGTGTTTTTCAAGTCTCTGGGACAGGATCCAAACTGTGGTTGGCAAGGTGGGATCTGGCTTCCTTCACCACTAGGCCACGGTGCCAGCTCACTTTTTGCACTTGTGTTCATACATTATGCGTCTCAGATTATTTCTTCAACATTGGACCATAGTATGGAAAATATTTCAAGTTCTAGAACAAAGCTCAACCCCATTTAAAACATTTGCTAAAGAATCCAGAGATTGGTAATCATCTGAATCTTTCTAAGATTAATGAATAACCCAGAGACAATTTCTATCTGCACACAAGTATGCTCTATTTTAAAGAAATGTTGATAGTCTAAAAAGAAAAAAAAAGAGAATATACAAGAAGACAGAGGTGAAGTAAAAAGTAGTGGAAGGGTAATTTTTCTAATATATTGACTAATGGCAGTTTTTTGTTTTTGTTTTTATTTTTGAGAGGTTTTTACTATAGAGTGCATGCGCTTGCCAGACAGAGAGACAGAAAGAGAGAAATCACCCCCTGGGGGGATGGCCATGCCACAATCCCTTCTCCTCCATTCTCCTCTTGGGATCTTGGGCATGCACGCACACATGCCCAGTGTGAGTTTAAACCACCGGGTCCAGGACTCGAACCACGCTTAACTACATGGGAGTCCAACAACATAGCCATTATGCCAACTGCTGGTCCCAAACTAATGGCAGTTTTTAAATGATTTCTTTGGTATAGGGCTTGAGCACTTGTGAGAGAGGGACATACAAAGAGAGAAAGTAAGAAAGCACTCCCGAGGGGTTATAGCCACACAGCAGTTCCTTCTCTTCCACTCTCCTCTCTGGATTTTGGGCATTTATGCACACATGCGCACCATATTTCTTAAGCCACCAGGTCCGGGACTCAAATTGTGCAGCTGGTCATGTGAGATCCAGCCTCCCCAACCACCACACAACCGGCTGGTACTAATGGCAATTTTTGTTTGTTCGTTTAATATTGCATTTAGCAAGTTGACAAGGGTAAACCACAGAAAGGAGTTTAGATTTTATTATACTTGGGTGTTTCCTGTGGGACAAATGGGACATGGGTGATACCTGCTGGTCTGCGCTCTGCCAGTGTCTTATCATTGCTCCTCCATGTTAGCATGTCCTTCAATGCACCTGTTCCCTCACTCGGCTTTCTCACTTTGTATCTGGATCTCATCACAATCATTTCTTGAAGGACCAAATTGGCCCCCGGTGATACTAAACTGTTATTTTTCAAAGACTGCCACATTAAAAGCAGCGTAAAGTGGGGTTATACAACAGAAATTTATTGTCTGACAATTCTAGAAGCTTGAAATACAACCACCATGGTGTCCTAAGGGCCACGTCCCTCTGAAAGTGCTGCCGAAAGATCTGTTTCAGGTTCTAGTCTTCCTTCGGGTGTTTCCTGGGTTCGTGACAGTACACCACCAGTTCTCACTGCTATTCTCCCTGCATCCACAGGACAGCTACTGATACCAGATAACATAGACTTCAAGTCAAAAACTGTCACAAGAGACAAAGAAGTTCATTATATGATGATGAAAACATCAGTTCAACAGATAGGTATATAACAGTTATAATTACGTGCAAGCCCAATCAATGCACCTATGTATAAACCTAACAGTGACAGAGACCTAGTCAGCAATACCATAAGAGTAGAGTCAAGAATAGCTCTGTTTTAATAGTACCTGGACTTGGGAACAGCATTGGCGTAATGGCTATGCTGCTGGACTCCCATGTAGTCGACAGCAATTCGAGTCCCGGACCCGGTGGTTTAAACTCATGTGTGTGCCCAAGATCCTGAGAGGAGAATTGAGGAGAAGGGATTGTGGCATGACCACTCCCCCGGGGGAGTGATTTCTCACTTTCTGTCTCTGTCTCTCTCTGTCTTTCTGGTGAGCACATGCACCCCATAGCAAAAACCTCTCCTGCCCACCCCCCCCCACAAAAAAATAGTAACTGGACTATGCAGACAGAAATGTAATAAATGAATAATAGATTTGAACAACACTGTAGGACAAATGGACTAAACGAAACTTGCAGGGTCTTCCATGAAACAGTAGAAGAATACATTTTCTGAAGCACACACAGAACGTTCTCGAGGACTGACTGTCAAATCAGGTTTAATCACTTAAAAATAGAAATGATACCAGGTTTCTTTTCTTTTTCTTTGAAAGAACAATTGAGCTTACCAGAGAGAGACAGAGAAAGAGATAGTGAGAGGGAAAGGGAGAAATCACCCCATAGGGGATGGCCACAATCCCCTCTCCTCCATTCTCCTCCTGGGATTTTTTTTTTTTTTTTGGGGGGTTTTCGCTTTAGGGCGTGTGCGCTCGCCAGACAGACAGAGAGAGACAGAGAGACAGAAAGCGAGAAATCATCCCCCCAGGGGGGATGGTCACGCCGCAATCCCTTCTCCTCCATTCTCCTCTCGGGATCTTGGGCACGCACGCACATGCGCCCAGCGTGAGTTTTAAGCCACCGGGTCCGGGATGCGAACCGCGGTCAACTACGTGGGAGTCCAGCAACATAGCCATTATGCTAACTGCTGGTTCCCTCCTCCTGGGATTTTAGACATGTATGCATACATGCCTGGCATGAGTTTCAAGCTGCCAGGTCCAGGACTCGATTCATAGGGGGAGTCCAGTGACTTACCCACTATGCCACCTGCTGACCTCATTTCTTTCCTAATTAAAGTAGAATGAAGCTAGAAATGTATAACAGAAGCAAAACTGAGAAATCACAAATGTATGCAAATTGCATAATACACTTTAGAACCAGATCTAAGTCCAATAAGATGTCAAAAAGAATATTAAAAAGTATCGTAAGAAAAATGAGAAATGGGTGTTTTTAAATTTATGGAATATTATAAGAATAGTAAGAAAGAAGTTTGGAGCAATGAATACCTAAGAAATGAGCAAGATCTCAAATAAACCACCTAAAATTACATCTCTGAGAACTAAGAAAATAGGAACAAACCAGGCCCAAGTTATCAGAAAGAAGGTAACAAGGATGAGAGCAGCAGGAAATTGATGCAAGAAAACATAATATGGAAAAACGAAAGTTAGAACTGTTCTTTCTTTTTAGAAACAGAAACAAAACTGAGGAACTCTTAACTAAGAAGAAAAAGAAAAACTCAGTATCACAATGAAACAGAAGACAGCACAAGGACTGCTTGAGCTATAAAATGACTATAAGGGACTCTAAGTAATAAGCACTAACAATTAGGGACTAAAGGAGAAATAAATTGCAAAGCCATGCATCCTATAAAATATGAATGAAGAGTTAGAAAGTGTGACTATACAACAACTATGGAGAGTGGATAAGTAATGGAAACCTCCCAAAACAGAAAGGACCGGAAGCAGATGATTTCGCTGCTGAAATCTAAAGATCATTAAGAGTGAACATCAACCACCCTCAAGCTTTTTCAAAAACTTTATGAAACAGGCAACACTTCTAATCTCATTACCTGAGGTCAGAAAAACTCTGATACCGAAGTCACACAACAGCAACACAAGAATATAAAACTATAGTCCAATATCTGTGATGAAACTATAATAGATGGAATAATCAATAAAAAAAATAGCAATTAGAATTCAATAGTATATTAAAGGGACTATACACCCTTGCCAAGTGAAATGTACACCTGAAGTTTGAGAACAGTTCTGGGACCAGCGGATGGTATAATGGCTATGTTGCTGGACTCCCATGTAGGCAAGCATGGTTCGAATCCTGGACTTGGACACTTAAAGTCATGCCAGACATGTGTGTGTTCTTGCCCAAGATCTTGAAAGGAGAATGGAGGAGAAAGGATTGTGGCAAGGCCGTTCCACCTGAAGGGTGATTTCTCGCTTTCTGTTTCTCTCTCTGTCTCTCTGGCGAGCAGACGCCAAAACCTCTCAAAAAAAAAATACTCTCAAAAAAAAAAAAAAAAAGAATGCTTCAACATATGCAAATCAACCAATGCAATGCATCCCAGAACAAAGTATAAAAATCACATGATCATTTCAACAGATACAGAAAAAAACTGACAACATTAAATACCCTTTCAGGCTACTTTGTTTGTTTTTAGAGAGAGATTTTTGCTATAGGGCATGTGCACTCACCAGAGAGACAGAGACAGAGAGACAAAAGGTGAGAAATCACCCCCCCCCCCGGGGGAAAGGCCACACCACAATTCCTTCTCTACCAATCTCCTTTTGGGACTTTGATCATGCATCCACATGCCTTTAGCATGAGTTTTTAAGCCACGGAGACGAGGATCAAATTACGGTTGACTACATAGGAGTCCAGCAATGTAACCATTACACTAGCTGCTGGTCCTGCTACTTTCAATGCATTATATGCAAAAGGAATTTACCTCAACATAATGAAAACTGTTTTTGATACACCCATAGCTAGCATTATACTCAATGATGAAAAACTAAAGCTTTTTCTCTAAAATCAGGAAGAAGATAAGGATGTTTACTCTCTTCACTTCTATTCAGCATAGTATGGGAAATACTGGCTAGTGCAATTAGACAAGAAAATAAATTAAAGCCATTTGATTTGAAAGAAAGAGATAAAATTTCTCTCTTCCAGATGATATAGACATATACATAGAAAACCCTAATGAGTTCATAAAGAATTTAAAATAATGAATTAATTTCTCACTAGCTCAAGGGGATTAAGTACAGTTTCAGAGTCAAATATAAGCTATTCAAAATGCCACTCTGAATATCTATACACATCACTCATGAGCTGTGCCTTTACTGAGAAACACAAAGACACTATTTCAATGGAAATAAAACCCACTGAAATTGCTTAAAAGGAAAAATAGGAATGTCAGTGAATTACTTATACTTAATGGTAATGTTTATGGTCCTGCAACATAATGTATCTTTGGATTATTCTGTCAGCATTTTCTGACACATACAATAACATTTCTACTATCAGGACACTAAAAAATTAATAGTTGGGAACTTTATTAAGAATTGAGTTTATTTTCTGAAATTGTCCATTTTTCCTCAGGTCTTTGTTCTAGGATTTTTGCACCTAATCAAAATCAAAATTAAAGCACAGCCAAGAAAAGCACAAATACGAATCCAAACGAGTAGGTTCAGGGAAGATCCGTGATGCCCATTTAGTTCCTCCTTTCTCTGAGGGGGTGGGCCACTGTCAACACTGCCCCCATTGCCCTCTAAAAGGCAGTAGGGTGGCTCCCACTGAAAGCTGCAATGGCAGTGATGTTTATTGTTACAAACCCCCCTTTTATTGCAGGTTGTAAGAGAACAATTACTTTTCAAAACGGACATAGAGGTGCACTTCCTCTGGATGCACACACGGTCTGAGCCACACAGGGTGCCATCTTTTATCTCACCAACGTCAGGTATGGTCATCCCTAAGTGGTAGTCGGTACTCCAGCAGTCATCACCACTGAACCGAGTCCAATGCGCAGTAGAGTGATCTCTCAGAAAAGGGAGTGCTGTCACGTTTTCACACTGGATTCTCCCACACAGGATATCTGTGATATTACATCTTACATATCTAGCGTTCTGGGTACCACAGTTCCCAAAGCGGTCACCCCTCATGTTTAAAATCCTGTAGCAATTCAGACTTGCACTCTTGGATATCTCACCAAAAATGTCCCTGCACTGGAGGTCACGATCGTTACATCTCTTCCCATAGCAGTAGCCTCCGTCCATACAAGGGACGCCAGCCTGCACATACACGTCTTCTGGGCACTCAGGGGAAGTCCCGTTGCACCACTCGGGAAGGTCACATTCATTGTCACTTTCTCTACACACTTCGCCTGATGGCAAAATCTGGCAGTCTTGGCAGCACAGCCCAAAAGCGCACGCCGCCCCAGGCATCAGAGTGCAGTTTGCTGAACAGCATGGATCATGTTTACATGACTGTAAGGACCCACAGTCACACTGCTCTCCTTCTTCAACCACACCATTTCCACAGCGCCGCACTTTGAAGATATCCTCTGGATTTGGTGCGTAGCGCATACAGGTGGTTCTCATAAGGACACCCCACAAGTACGCATAACTGCAGTTGCTGAATGTCTTTGAGGGTGTTTCTTTTGGGAACATTATGCATGTTTTGTGACCACACGTGCATGTCTTTACGTCATGATGCATACCCAAATTATGACCAATCTCGTGTGTCACAACGAGCGCAAATCTAGATATTTTGTCATTCAGAAAACTATCAACTCCACAGCTAAGACCACGTGAACATACTGTTCCAACATAGGCTAAGCCCAGATATATACCATATCCACGTTTTACAAAAAGATGTGCAAGATCATGCTTCATGCGTGGAGCAAGGCTGATAGCCTTCCAGCGGCAAAACTGTGTCAAAAGAACAGTTATATCAGTTACGTTCACAGGGTTTCCATTATTCCAGATCTCAATTCCAAGTAAAAGCACATCAATTTCCAGTGGAGTGTAATAGGCATTTATTTCATTGACAATAGTGCTTACTTCCTCTTGTACCTTTGAGACATTACTTCCCCGATGAATGAATCGTTGCTGGTCTACCACCAGTGCCAACTCAAGATACCGTTTGTGAGTCCACCAGCCCACATAACCACTCTGCATCAGAGTGGAATTATCACTCTCTGGAAACATTAATTGCTGAGCTATTTCTTCTGTTAATCCACATTGCATGGGTGGGAACTCTATCTCTTCACAGTCCATCTTGTATACCAAATGTTCAAATGTGGCAGAATGCCTTTTGGGCTTGATTTCGTAGGCAATGTCATTTATATGTAACACTCCTTGAAAGCCCCCAAAACAGGCACTAAGGGCAACCAGGGACTCTGGGTCCCCTTCCACATAACCCTGATAGTAGCAGTCATGCCGGACAGAGGGCTGGTCCTCTACGAGAGCACCCTGGTCTGTGTACGTGAACACAGAGAGGGATCTGGACACTAAGACCTTCTTGGGCTTCATGTGGACAATGTGCCTCTGGCCTCCAAAATGCAGGCGATAGGAGACCCAGCCTGGAACCTTCGTGTCCTTATTCTTGGCAATCACCCTCAGGGGTATCACCACTTCCGGGGGGCTTTGGTATTGACAGTGTCCAATCTGGGGCCATCGACAAAGAATCAGAAACAGCCCTGGCAAGAGCAGCTGGAAGGTGGTCCATCCATGAGCCATGGTCTTACCCACCACAGTAAGGGCCAGGAGCATGGAGCTGTGGGTAAGGGCAAAGGAGAGGAGAGTGGGAGGCAAGGTTGTGTGTCTCCTCCCTTTAAGGTGCTTGTTCGCAGGACTGACCTTTAACGGTCTGTCTTCTAGCAGAGTCAATCCATCACATCAGCAGAACTAAAAGAAAAATAGAAAAAAAAGGGGCAGAGACAGGGATGGCATTATGAGCAGGCCAAGGCAGAAAAGCAAGAGTGGAAAATTGGTTCAAATAGATTTGCACTGGCTCATGTCCCTACTCAATATAATGCATTGGATTTGCCCTTAATTATTGGTAAGGCAAGGTCAGCCTGTGGGTGGATGATAGAATGACAATGGGGCACAGGTTGTTGATTATTGAGCTGATGAAGGACTCATAGATTCATTATACTATTGTTTAAATTCATGTGCAAATATGTCCCCAATAAATATTCAAAATTAAAGAGTCTTAATAGCAAGCCAAACTTATATTTTGTGTTGATGAAGAAATCTGGATTTTTGCATATTAATTTGAAATACCTGCCTTTCTATTTGGGATGATGAATTATTTACACACATATGTAAGAAGAGTTATTTATAAAAAACACACATATAAATTTTTTTCACAGACCTCAATTATATTTTTGAGCAACAAATCATTAGTTGTCCTATCTTCATCTGATCCTGCCAAACTGTAAAGTTTCAAAGTGACAGTTGTCCTTCAGAAGCAGTACTCTCTACTGTAAAGGGTAAGTGGGTTCCATAAAACAGTAGACTGTGATGGGACCGAATCGGTTAGTCCCTTGGGATAGATGTTGCTCAAAGGTCTTCATAGATAATTTACTCTTAAGAAAAGTAACAGTTTCAAAGTCCCTGCTGTATGAAATGGAAAGGCAATCAAGGTTTCTGGGAAAATAAGGCTGGAGACAGGAGAATAACAAAGGCCAAACCAAGGGCCTTCTGAAATTCAAAGGGGCAATAAGAGGGAGAAAAGTTTTAGGGAAGGTCATGTTGAACTTGGGCAAAGACATCAAATCTCTGGCATTTTTAAGATTCTAGCTAACAAGTTGTTGAGATCAACTTACATATATATGTATGTAATAAATAAAGACTGGGTCAGCCCATGGCACGGTGGTTGAGCCCATTGGATCTCACGTGGCCATGTGTGTGAACGAGTCCTGGACCCACAGCTTTGATGGCGTGTATGGCTTGTGGGCCCAACATGCACAAGGGAGAGAGAAATGGAGGAGGAGGTGTGGTGTACCATCCCCATGGGTGGTGCTTTCTTCCTTCCCTGCTCTCTTTCTCTTTCTCTGTTGGTCTCCATTAAAGACATTGACATTAATTAAATAAATAAGAAAATAAACACACATACATATCTCATATGTAGTAATACAAACGATTTAAAAAATCTATCCCAACAAGAAAAATGTATTCTCACGTATATGGGAATATGGGGTTAGCACAGTGCCTGGCTGGCAGTATTGTTTTCTTGCTTTGTTCTTGTATAACACATTCACATGACCCTGTAATATGGAGACTCTATGTTGCCCACTTGGGAAACATAAATTAATATTAGTAGCTTTAATATGCTAATGGTCTGAGGCATCAATATGGGCAGAGTATTTGGGAATACAGTTTAAGAGTTTGTAAAATTTACATATATATGTAAAGATTACATATATAATGTGTATTGTTTTAGTGATGATTTTCCCTGAATCTTGTGCTTGTACGTGCACATGGTATCAGAAAGGTTTCTAGAAGTTGACATAACTGCAGTTACCGATGCGGTTGAGTCTGTCTCTATGCCACGCATTCTGCACCCTAAGCCCACTTTTACACGTCTTTTTACCATGAGGCATATCAAAATTATGACCAATGCCATGTGTCACAATCTACACAAATAATGTCATGCAAGAAAGTGTTAAGTTCACAGTTAGAACTAAAAAGATGGAGTCCAGCAAGTGGCTGCTTAAGGCATTGGATTCCCATGTGCCTGACTGCAGTTTGAGTCCTAGATCCGATAGTTTGAAATTCATGCTAGGTGCAGGTGTATGTGTGCCCCAAATCCCGAGAGGAGAATGAGGAGAAAGAACTGTGGCACGGCCTTCCCCCCCCGGGAAGTGATTTCTTGTTTTCTGTCTCTCTGTTCTCTCTCTTTCTCTGGACAGGTGATGTGCCCTGTAGCAAAAATCTCTTAAAAAACTGGGAACCAGCAGTTAGCGTAATGGTTATGTCGCTGGACTCCCACGTAGTCAACCGCGGTTCGTGTCCCGGACCCGGTGGCTTGAAACTCACGCCGGGCGCGTGTGCGTGCGTGCCCAAGATCCCGAGAGGAGAATGGAGGAGAAGGGATTGCGGCATGGCCATCCCCCTGGGGGGTGATTTCTCGCTTTCTGTCTCTATGTCTCTCTCTGTCTGTCTGGCGAGCGCACGCGCCCTACACTGAAAATCTCTCCAAAAAAAAAAAAAAAACTGAGAAGACATAGTAATGCAATATACTCTGAGGTGTTGAATCCAACATAACTCTGACATAACTCTGCTTTACAAACAGGTGTGCACCATCATGACTTATGTGGTAAGTGAAGCCTATTCTCTTCCACTTGCAAAATCCTTTCAGGGTATTCTCTATAACAGAGGTCTCCAATATCCAGGCCATGGATCTATTATGGACAGATAGCAGGTGGTGACCACCGGGTGAGAGAGTCAAGCTTCATCTATATTTACAGCCACCCTCCATCACTTGCTCCTGACCTCTGCCTCCTGTCAGATCAGCAGTGACATTAGATTCTCATAGGAACATGAACCCTATCGTGAACTGCACATGCAAGGGGTATAAGTAATGCGTTCAGCCCATCCCCACACTGGAAAAATTATCTTCCTTGAAACCAGTCCCTGGTGCCAAAAATCTACTGTGAAGAAGTTTCCTTCATTTCAATCCACAGGTCCTAATAAAAACACCTCAACTTTCAGTGCAGCATAAAAAGTAAGCATTGTGTTGAAAACAATGCTTATTTCTTCCTGCACCTTTGAGACAGACTTTCTAATGAGAGAATCATTCCTGGTCTACCACCACTGTCAGTTCAAGACACCATTTGTAGGTTCACCAGCCCTCATAGGTGCTCTGTCCCAGAGTGGGATTATCATTCTCTCAAAACTTTGTTGTGTTATTTCTTCTTTATTAATTCACCTTTGCATGGATGAGAGTGTGTTTCCTCACTCTCTAAAGTGGTAAAAAGCCTTTTGGGTTTGATGTCATAGGCAATGTCATTTTTCTGGATGTTTCTTTAAAGTCCCCACACAGGTGGTAAGAGCAACCAGGGACCCTGGACCTCCCTCCACATAGCTATGATAGCAGTAGTCACCCTGGACAAAACTCTCCTCCTCAGTTAAGACCATCCTGGTCTGTGTATGTGAACATGGAGAGGTATCAGGGCACCAGGAATTTCTTGGGTTTCTTACAAATAAGACTGTGGGAGAACCAGCCTGGAGTCTTCCTGCCTTTATCAACTGCTCATTACCCTTGGGGGTGTCACGACTTCTAGGGGAGGTAGAACTGATGTGTGTCTTTTCTTTGAGGGGCTCATTTGCAGGACTGAGCACTAAGGGTCTGTCTTCTGGCAGAGTCAACCCATCAGATAAACAGAATAAAGAAAAAAAATGAAAAGAGCGGAGACAGAGGTGATGTTAGGAGCAGGCCAGCGTGTGAGAGAGAGGGGAATGGGTTCAAGTGGACTTGTTTTGGCTCAGGTTCAGACTCAATACCCAGCACTGGTTTTGCTCTTAAAGATGGTGAGGCAAGCTCAGACTGTAGGGGGGCCAAAGAAGTGACTGAGTCTCAGATGAATGATAACAGGACTTAAATGAAGGACACATGGATCCATGATATGGTTGTCTAAATACATGTGGAAACATTTCCCCAATCAATCTTGAAAGTAGAAAGGGCTTAAGGGAAAGGTGCACACGTGTTGTCTTGATGAGGGATTCTAGGTTTTCCTGCATCAACTCAGAGTATCTATCAGTAGTTCTACCATTCAACTTTGACTGATAAATTATTCATTCACATTAGCAAGCAGAGATGTAGAAAATTACGCATGTATGTTTTTTCTCGTGGTCCTTAATAATCTTTCTGTGTAACAAACCAATACTTGTCATATCTTATTTTAATCCTGTCAAACTGCAAAGCGTCAAAGTACCCTCCCAAAAATTGAAACTTCCAAAATATGAGTGTCTACTGTAATGGATACCTTCACTCAATAAAACAGTAAACAGCAGTGCAATTGTGTGGGGAGTACCTCAGGCTGATAAGTAGATGCTACTCAAAGGCGTTCATATTTTATTCTACTCTTGAGAAAAACAACATTTTTCTAAGCCTCTAGTCATGTAAAACAGAAAGTCCATCAAACTACCTGGGAAAGTAACAGGAGGAGATGGGAGAATATTGATGGACAGAGGGCCTTCAGAGGTGAGAAAGAAATCAGTGAACAGGACGGAGAAAGGCATCGAGGAATGTATAATATTGTTGAAACTGGGAAAAAATATCAAAATCCCTGTATTTTTAATTAGTTCCCTATATTGATCTTCAAATTATTTTTCTACTAAAAATAAATAGATTCAGCTGCAGTGGTACACGTATGGGACTGCTGTTTGGGAAGCTTGAGCCATGTAGGCTAGGCTTCCATTTCTGGACTAATATGAGCATGCCAGAAAGACAGAGAGAGACAGAGAGACAGAAAGTGAGAAATCACCCCCCAGGGGGGATGACCACGCTGCAATCCCTTCTTCTCCATTCTCCTTTTGGGATCCTGGACACACATGCACACGTGCCCAGCGTGAGTTTAAGTCACTGGGTCTAGGACTTGAATCACGGTTGACTATATGGGAGTTCAGTGACATAGCCATTACGCCAACTGCTGGTCCCAAGCCCCATGTTTTAACTGAGTGGCAGGCTAGGAGCAGGCGGATCAACATGGTGAGAACCTATAAAAATACTCTGTGTCTTTATTTGTTCCTCTTACAAAAAATGATGTATACACATACGGTCTAATATAAAAATACCAATACGAAGAAATGATTTTCGTAACACAGCTGTACTGCTGTGAAAAGGAGAACCTCTGTCCCTAGCACAGTGCCTGCATGGTGATACTGAATCACGACCAAGTAATATGCAGGCTCTCGGCTGATGAAACATAAAGCAGTGGTGTAGACGTAGGTAAGTTAGTGATCTGGAGCATGAAATTAGACAGCGTGTTGGGACAAAGATGTATGTTAGGAGTCTGTCATTAGATTCAGTATTTTATATAAATGCTTATTTTTATTTAACTCCAAAGAGCACCCAACGTCTGCTTTGGAACGTTACAGTTATGAGAATAAGGTCTACTAGCCTGGCTGGAAATAACAAAACTCAGAGGAAAGTGCTTTGCACTACGAGAGATCTAGAACACACTGATCAAATAGCACTGATCGTTGTAACACTAAAATAGAAGATATCACATTCAGCACCCTACCATCTTCAGGACCCTGGACCCATTTCTCTATCATTTTCTTTTATCTTGATTTTAAGTCCTTTGACTTCTTCTTTCTCAAATCACTTCCCTGTCACTTACAGAATCATTCCTTCATGAACATTAACAACAGTCTCTTCATTCAAGCTTCTTTCAGGAGAACATCTTATTCCTACTTAATTTTACAGAAACGTAGATGTGACGGGGTGAAGCCTGGCAGAGGGGAAGCTCTCTGTTTTCAGAAGCCCCCTAAGCGATGAATGTTTGATCATAATTTGCTTTGATTACCAAAGCTACTTGGACACCCTTAAACTGCAGCCCCGCCATTATACCAATATTTACCATTCTCCCTTAGTTTTACATCCAGCTTTTAAGTCATTTGCATAACCAGGAATCCAAGTTTTTGCCATTTTACCCAGCATCTTATCGATATTCTCACTGTGTTTAGCAAGTGTACGGAGAACTCTACAGCACCCAGGTTTTCTTTTTAGTCAACTGACCTTTAAGAATTTTTAGCCATCATCTATAGTCTTGACCTGTATCCATGTTATCGCTCTTACTGGTGTAACTCTTAAGGATTAGAGTACCACGACTTTTATGTGTAACCCAAACTTATTTGTCAAATTTATAAAGGACTCAAATTTTCTTTTAATTTTTCCCCACTTCTTGGGTTCCCATCATTGTACTTTTCATCCACATACCCTAGACCTAGACTCCATCAATTCAACCATTGTTGACCCAAATCCCCAACTCAATCAAGATGAATTCTTTCTCTGTGTTTGTCACTCTTTCAACTCACTGCCAACACTGCTGAGAAAATAAATCTGAGAGGGTATTTTCAGGAGGCTTAGAGGGGAAGGTATACAAAATTAGAACAAGTTAGCCTGGTAAATGAGGCCAAAGTATGAAGCCATGAACAGATATTTATTACAAACTTTCCTCCATTTTTAGTTAACTGTGCTTGTTGTTTACATTTCTTTGTAACTTTCTGATTTTCCTCATCAGTACATAAAACACTCAGCTGAAAGTCAACAGTGTCTTCACTTTTACGAGTTATTATAATTTCATTTCAATAGTCATAGTTTAAGTTGTAAAATCAAGCATTCCTCATTAATACTTCTTTAGTAGAATATCAGATATTTTGCTTGGTCTTTGTCATTGCAGGAGATTTATTTCAGCCTGGACATTAAGGTGCTTATTAAGGTGACAGAACACTCGATTACTGGGCAAACTAATGAAGAAACAGAGAAGTGAGGCTTGTTTAAGAAAATGCTGAGTTGGCAAGAAGAGACAGGTAACTTCTGATATGCTGACTCGGTCTCCGTATCTCTCTTGATATGTATTTGGTAATTATCATGAAATATGGATTTTTGTTTTTATGAAAAAGGATGATTTATTAATAACAACAGAGCACTGTTGTGTTTGAAATTCAGCAAGAGAAATCTAATCATAAGAATTTATTTCTAAGATTTTTGCCTTACATTCTGGTCATAGGAAAACAACCTTGTAAAAATATTTGAACCATACTATCTTTGCCCTCCTAACATCATTTTATATATTTAATTCAGAGACCACAAATCCAGAGATATTACAGTATTTTCATTAATGAAATGTGCCAGTGTGGTAATGGCGCTGAAACTTCAACACAGACTGACATGCACCATCTTTCATGGGTTGTTTTTTAATCTCCCCAGCTTCACCAGCTTCTTCAATCTCGGCATCCTAATTATTGCCTACTTCCTCTCCCTCCTTTATAGAAATACGTTATAAATAATTCAGTGCTTTCAAACTATGAGTAAAAAATATTAAAGACTATTAAGAACCCTGAACCACGTAAATACAGTATGATTGTAAGTAATAAATGAAACAGTCAACACTTAGATCTCGTTGCTTAGCACCATTTCTTGTGTCTACTACGCATGTGGGTGTATTGTGTGTGCGCGTATTCTGTGTGTGTGTGTGTTCTGTGTATGTATTGTGTGTGTTCTCTGTGTATGTGTGAGTGTGTGTGTGCGCACATGTATTCTAGCATGCACAAACCCTGGTGCTTCTGCCCGTTAGCGTTGTACCACAGAACACTTACCAGAGATGAACTGGTGGCTCCCATGATCTTTTCTGTGAATGGCCCTGCTTCTACCACCCCCCTCTATGAAAAACGATTTCTAACTGACACCTCGCATGACCAAGAGAAATGTAAATCCCCTCCTTCATTTCTCTCTCATCTTATGAAGTTCTAGTTTCGGCTCCTAGCAACAGGAGTCTCTAGTTCTATAGAACATGACAGCTGCTTAAGATTCCTTCCTCCTGTGGCTCCACCATCTTCACCGACCTTTATTTCTAATGATTTTTCAAGATGAAGAATTCTGATCTCCTGTTCCCTTTTGATCTATCCCCTACATACAATACAGTGATTTTATCTTACGTACCTTTGCTCACGATTTTACCCTGCTTCCTAATTATTTCCTCAACATTTGGCCATATGATGGATAAGTATTTCAAGTTCTAGAAAACAGTTCAACCCCAGTGTCCAGCAGATGGCATAACGGTTATGTTGCTGGACTCCCACATGGTTGTCCAAATTCAAACCTCGGATCCGGTGGCCTAAAACTACCCCTGGTACCCATGTGTGCATGCATGCCCAAGGTCCCAAGAGGAGAATGGAGGAGAAAGGATTACGGCGAGGACATCCCCCATCCCCGAGGTGGGGGGGTGATTACTCACTTTCTAGCTCTCCCTGTCTCTTCAGCGAGCACACACACTCTATAACAAAACATCTCTCTCAAAAATAAATTCAAGCCCATGTAAGATATTTTCTAAGGAATCCAGACATTGGTAATCATCTACATATTCCTTTCTAAGGTCAATGAATAACTGAGAGGTGCTTTGCTCTATCGATAGAATAGTTGTCAGTAGGGATAAAAAGGGCAGAAAACATATTGAGAGAAAGAGAAAAGAATAAAAATAGTGTAGAAAGAAATTACATAGGTAAATGAACAGGCAGATTTAAAAATACTAATCTTGGAAGACTGCATTTAGCAACTTGGTATTGTTAAATGGGGTGATGTGGAAAGACGTCAATGTTCATTATCCGAGAGAGTTTACTTGTGAGGCAGACAGGAGCGTGGTGAGTCCCGCCAGCCTGAGGTCCGCCAGTCTCTTCCCATCACCCCCATCTTCGTACATCCAGCTCTGCAGCTTTTCCTTCAGGGAGTTTCCTCACTTTCTCTCCAGATTCCATCACAGCTAGTTCGTAAAGGACCAAATGGGTCTCTGATAAAATTAGTCTCTGTGTTAACTTTCTGGGAAGACCATCGCAAAACAAGTGTTCTCAAGGACAGAAATGTAGGGCCAGCAGGTGGCCCAGTGGTTGAAGTCCTGGATATCCACACGGACAAATTCAGGTTGAGTGCTGGACCCAGCGGCTTCAAAATCCCAACAAAGAGGCCAATAGGTGGCATGGTTGTTAAGGCACTGAACTCCCACATGGCCAACTACAGTTTGAGTCCCAGACCTGGCAGTTTGTTTTCTAATTTTCCTTCTTCCTCTCTCTGTTGAGCATGCATGCCCTATAGAAAAATTTAAATAATAATAATAATAACAATAAATCAAATAATTAATTCTTAAAGACAAAAAAAAAAGAAAATTAAAACATAGGGGCTGGCTGGTGGCGTGGTGGTTAAGGCACTGTACTCCCACATAGCCAACTGAGTTAGACTCTGGTTCAGGAGGCTTGCTTTCTCACTTTCTTTCTCTTTGGTGAGGGCATGTGCCCTGTAGCAAATTTAAAAACAATAATGAGAAATAAAATTATATTAATAAGTTTTAAATTTAAGAATCACAACAAATAAATAGATAAATAAATAAATATTTTTAAAAAACAGAAATGATCGTCTGACAATTCTGGTGGCTTGAGGTACACAGCCATGGTGTCCTCAGGACCACACTCGCTCTGAAGATGTTGGAGAAGGATCTATTTCAGGTTCTCCTTTTGCTTCATGCTTCCTTGGTCTGACAACAGCACAACTCAATTCCTCATGGCTGCTCTCCCTTTTTACAGCTTTTTATAGGGACAGCTACATATAACAGACTTTCAAGCTGTCACATGAGACAAAGAAGTATGGTACATAAGGATAAAAAGGTCATTCCACCAGGAAGATGTATAGCAATTTCACTTGTATATAACCACAACATCAAAGCTCCTAAATACATGAAGTACCTATTTAGTAACAGTTCTGAAGACGACAGCCATACAGCAATAGTAAGAGATATCTCTGCATCAGTTTCAATCCTCGATAGAAATCCAGCTAAAACTGAATAAATGAATATGAATTTCAAAACTCATATCCAATATTGTAGGACAGGCCAAGCAAATCTTGACACCACTCTACCAGATATTGGTAGACTACATACTTTCCTCAAGCGTGTGTAGAACACCCTCCAGTAGTGATTACATGTGACATCACAAATGAGCTGTAACAATTTTAAGAAGAATGAACTAACATAGAACGAATATGTTTTGTTATCTGTTCTAGGTAACCTGTATAGTATCCTCAACCAGACTGGTCTGAAGTATATTTCATGTTGGGTAAATTCACTGTATAAGCTAAGTGATGTATGATTGAATGTATAAAATAAAATTTAAAAAATAAAGAATGAATATAGAAATCAGTGACAGAAAAAAAAAAAAAAAGCCCACCCTGAAAAAGTCACAGATCACCTAACACACTCTCGAACCAGTGCTTTGTCAAAAAGAGATCTCCAAGGTTTTAGAAAACATCTCTACCTCAACCAGCTCTGGAGCTTAGTAGTTCAGGGGCCCAGACCCCACATGGCCAATGGCAGCCAGATTCTTGGCTCCATGGCTTGGAAAACATGATGGTCACATGTGTGTCTGTGTGCCCCAAATCCTGACGGATGAAGCAATGGGCGAAAAGGATTGTGGTATGACCACACCCCACTGGGGGACGCTTTCTTCTCTCCCCTCTCAATCACTCTGTTTCTATCTGGTACAAGCATGCTCACTCTGGCAATTAAAAGAGAAGAAAGAAGAAAAAAAAAAAAGAAAACATTTCTACCAAATGAAATGAAAAAGGAATATTACAAAACTAATGATATGTAGCAAGATACTACGAATAGAGACGTTTATAGCAAGAAATGTCTACATTAAATGGAGCACTAGCTCAAATAAATGACTTTACATCTCCAAGAACTCGAAAAATAGGAACAAACCAAGCCAAATGTAACAGTGTGAAGGGAAAATATAAGAGTATTAAAAATTTAGAATAGCTGGACCAGCAGGTGGTATAGTTAAGGTGTTGAATTGCCATATGGCCAGGCAGAGTTTGAGTCCTGGACCTGGGAGCTTGAAAAACATGCCAGGCAAGTGTGCATGCATGCCCCAAATCCTGAGAGGAGAATGGAGGAGTAGGGACTGCGGTGTGTCTTTCCACCCTACGGGGTGATTTCTTACTTTTCCTCTCTGTCTCTGCCTCTCTGTTGAGTGCATGTGCTCTATGGCAAACATCAACTGGAAGAAGAAAGGTGCAAAGCATTTAAGGGACCCAAAATGGAAAGAAATTTGTCAATGATAATTTTTATGGAAATGTCTTTGATTGGACTTCTATGCAGTGTGTTTATGGTGGGAAAATTCATGTGGTATGTTGTAATACAGTGATTAAATGCATAAAATCTGAAAACATGTCTTTAAAAAAAGAAGACTAGAAGAACAATGGGAAAATGTCAGTAAACCTGACAGTTTTTTTTTTTATAAAGAAAGATAAACAAATTGACAAACCCCTCATTAAACCAACAGAGAAAAGAAGAAAGAACATGTAAATAAAATCACAAATAAAAGAAAATGATCCATTTCTCTCTGATGCATTCCTAGGAATCCTATGAACAAGTAAGTATCAATGGGAAGTGAAGAATAAACAGATCATTTCAAGATCTATGCAATTTACAAAGAATGACCCGCAAAGAATCGGAAAGTCTGAACATAACAATAACAAATAAGGAGATTAGATATGCAATAAAAAACACTTCACACACACACACACACAAAAGCCCTGGTCAGATGGTTTTACTGCTTATTCCAATGTGCTGGGAAAGAATTAACATCTGCAGCTTCCAAAATCCTCAAAAATTGAGAGAATTCTTCAACGAAATTCCATGAGGCCAACATCGTCTTGCTGTCTAAGGTACATAAAGTCAATACAAGGAAAGAACCGTCCGTGTCCATGCCCTCAGTGAACCCATCTGTAATAATCATCAATAAGGCGTTGGCAATTTGAATGAAGTAGTATAGAAAATGAATTAGACACCTAGAAAAATGAAACGTAACCGTGAGGGACAAGAATGGCTCAGTGTATGCAAATTACTCATTGTAATGCTCTCCATTCACAGAATAAAGTATGAAACGCACATGATCATCTTAATAGGTGTAGAAAGTGCAGCTGACAATAGAAAATACCCTTTCATGATACTCTTCATGCTCTCTCTATAAAAAGCATTTAGCTCAACATGATAAAGCCATATACAAAAATGCTAACATTATATGCACAAAGAAAAACGAAAGCTTTTTCTCTGAAATGAGAAAGGCAAGGGTGTCTACTCTCTTCAATTCTTTTCAGGATAGTGCAGGAAGGACTAGCCAGCGCGGTAATCATAAAGACATCTGAATTTTAAAAGAAGCCGCTCAGTGGTCTCCCTTCAGTGATGGACCTAGAAAATAGTAACGAGTCCACAGGAAAGCAATTAGAAATAACAACTGAATTTCTCACTGTCTAAAGAGGATTGTGTACAACTTATTGTAAATACAATTAACTCAGAATATCCCTCGGGATGCTATAATGACACAAAAATCATCCATGAGCTGTGTCTGTGCTTGAGGACACGAAGACACCAATTCAATGAAAAATAAGCCACTGAAATTGCTTAAAATGATGAAAAACAAGAATAGGTAAGGATTACTTTAATGGCTTGTATTTTAGATCCAGAAACATAATATAGGTCCGTGTTTTGGTGTTGTAAGGGATCTCTGACACATGCAATAACATTTCTGTTGCCAGCACACCAAGAATTAATGCTCGGGAAGTTTCATTAGGGACAGAATGAATTTTTTGACATTGTCAGTTTTTGCTATTCTTGCTCAGGTGAAGGTTCAGCTCTTTGCACTTCGTTCTGGGGTGTTCCACGCTTCATCCACAGAAAAAAATATAAC